CTACTATTGTGCATCAATTGACAAGCCAAACATGGTTCATTTTCACTTGAAGGCATACAGTATGTAAGCCACCTTCATAACTCAAACAGACCAGATAGCCAAAATATAAGGGAGTAGTGTACCGACTAACAGAACTAAACAAGATAATAATAATAATAATAATAATAATAATAAAATCAAAAATAATAATACTTAAACAATACAATAGGAATAGGTTTAAATGGTCCTATACCTGAGACAGGATACTGATGCTGGAAAGCATGGCACAAATACACTGTGGCCCCTGGTCTGTCATTGGATTTGTTGATGGCAAAAATAATGAATATCACCAGCCTTATCCTTAAATAAAAAATCTACTGTGAATTATTGTCTGTCCCCTGAGTAGAAACTTTCAGTGATGTAAGTGACGTTAAAACGCCTGTCTTGTTTACGATGCGAGCAGATGTGCAGAATTCTGTAGATTATAGTGAGTCGTTCAAAAGCAGCATTTTGATAACCTACAATATGAGAACTATGGCTCGAGGTACATACAAACACACATTGGAAGCACATCATCAGGATGGTTTTGGTACCAGTGTAGAACACAGTGAGCGACAAACAGGAACCTGTGTAGATGTCTGGGCGACGCTCGGATCACACAGCAGGACAGTATCAGCCGGCTGTCCTGTGTGGAGCCTCTGGAGCTTTCACCCCTCAGACAGGCCTGACCTTCATCACACATCACCAGGTGATGATGGGGGAACAGGCAGAAACCTTGCTGCGCCAAAACATACAAGCATGCACACCGTCACTGATTACAGATAGACAGATAGATAGACCCCCGACGTGGTTTCCCCCTCCCCTTTTTCACCTCCCTCTTTTTCTCTCCCTCTTTCTCCCCTTCTCGCTCTCTGACAGTCCTGGCACTGTGAAAAGTTCAGAGCTGTCAGGGGGAATGTCAGACGACTGCGTAGAGCTATCAGCTGAACACACACACACACACACACATTCTTGAGACTCATTGTCACACTCCTTTTTTTTCATGAGAATTAGACAGGCATTTGAAACACAACTCTGGACCGGGACACACTGATATGTTAATCATCATAAAACATTTTCGAAATTGCCTGTTAATTACTTTATCTCAAATGTGATTTCATTTTAATATCTGTTCATCTTTCTGTAGATAGAGACATATGTGTTTTTGCATTCCCGATAACAAAACTGTGTCAAAGAATTGCTGTGTGAAAGCTTGATAGATTTGTTAATTAAAAATACTATACCTATGCAGTGCAAATGTTGTACATTAATATACAATACCTTTACTGCACATTTTAAAGGACCAATGTAATGACTTTTAAAACTTTTTTCAAATTAAATGAAACAATAACACCCATACTGCAGGAGAAGAAATCCTCCAACTCGAGTACAGTATAGAGGGTTTTAATTAATATATATTCAGTGCAGTAGACCTAATCCAGTGGAAGATGATGCCCCCTGCATTAAAGCTTAATGATATGCTTCATTAATCCCAGAGAGGAAATGTTGGAGTTATTTACATTACATCACACATAGGATCCTTGAAGCAGGTGGTTGTTTTGGTGCTTTGCTCAAAGACACCGCCCCAAAATGCTTTGCCTCCTACAATTCCCCCAAAAATGTAAACCTTGAATATCAAAAATGTAATTAGAGACTTTTGCCTTTATTAGACGGACTGTGGGCAGACAGAAATACCAGAAAGGGGGAGAAAGGATCTTGACTTAGTTACCAAAACAGGCCGCTGTGCTAAGGAGCCAGGTTTTGTTCATGGGGTGCCAGCCTAAGAGATGCCCGGACCGACAGCTTCAGATGTAGCACAGGGATGCCGATTACAAAACAAATGTCCTCCTGTCAAATCCTTGTGTTTGGTGTCGAGTTCTAAATAGCTCTCTTAATACATAGGATGTTTTTTTGATAATTTAGATGTACATTTGTGACCGCTAATGATAAGGAAAGTGACATTCAAGGCCCTAGTGAGGATTGAACTCACGACCCCTGGTTTACAAGACCAGTGCTCTGAACCACTGAGCTATAGAGCCTTTGACGAGGATTTTAATATGTTTACTATTAATACGACTACACCTTATACAACGTATGGGTGTGTGATTGACTGGATCAACAAGTTACAGGAGTGTCACACCAGCTAATGGGATGCAGAAATTGTTCACCTGATGTCAATGTGAATCAAAAAGGGTTGTATAAAAAACAGCATTTTGTAAATCAGCAAGAATCCAATATCCAAACTTTTTTCTTTACCATACTATAGGAAACTCTACGGCCAGAAGGGGGCGCTCACTTCGGGGCTCTCAGTCTCAGCTGCTCCTGGAGATGCCTTTTCGCACCCAAAGCCAACGTACGTTAATGCACATCCACAAAAACACTGTTTTAATCAAGTTAAAGTTTACACAAGTTCATTTTACCTGCTTTTTTTTTTTTATTACAGTGAGCGGTATCGAGGGTGTGCATCTGACTGACGCCATGAATCAAGCCAAGCAGTACTCTTACCACCTGAGGCCACACAGCGCTGGACAGGGGACCACAGGCCGGGGGAAACATTGAAACCCCACACACACACACCTCATGTTCTTTGATGTTTTCTCAGCTGGCTGGCGGCCTTCCCTCTATAGAATTACTTTACACATTGTTCGCTCAATGTGCCAAGATTTCTAAAATTAAGCCATATGACATCAGAGCCATGACCTCACAGGGTGGGGTTAAGTCTACAGAAATGGTGTGTGTAAAAGATAACCTTTCATCCATTGTGAAATGAACACACACACGCCTTCCCACTCGTTCTCCATCGCTCTCACACACACTGCGATAACCTTTCCTCCTGTTGTGGAGAATGAGGCAGTCTATCAACAGCCGGTCATACAGATAGCCCACCTGCAGCCGCAGCCACACACACACACACACACACACACGTCTGGTCTTCCCTCTAAAGAAACATTTGTGTTTCTTTACTATGAATTTTGTATTACTTTAATATGCATTTGCACAATAATAATCCAACTTGTGTCATTTGATATACCTGAATGTTGTTGTTTTTTTAAATGTGTATTATAAGAAATAAAACAAATATTGACAGAAGGTAGCCCAATGGATTTAGCTTTATTTGCTCCCTTTTTAGTAGAGATTTTTTTTTTATCAAAAGAGGCCAGGTGCCCCGGTAAGCCCTGGATAACATCCGGCAAAAGTACTCCAAAGAGGCAAAGAACGATAAACAATTACCAGTCTAAGAATGAAGCAATAAAAGAAGCACACACAGAAAACAAAAATAGAGGTTGAATGTGGAGTATCCATTTTCACTCAAAATACAAAAACATGTCACTCCACTGTATCTCTGACTGTAGGTTTCGTTGTATGTACTTGTCACATTTGTGCTCTGCGAGTGTTTTTGAGTCATTGTAAGATGCTTGAGAGGGTGTACTGAGCAACACACCGGGTGCCGGTCGGTCAGTACATGTCTCGAAGGCCCAGGTTTCCACGGCGAGCGGAGGAGCCGTGAGCCACGGTGACACTGTAACAGTAGAGCAAGTCGGTCAGCCACTGCTCCCTGGTCGCACCCCGAGAATACCTCTGAAACACACAGAGAGAGAAATAGGTGAATGCACTCCTTGAGAAGCTTCATCTCTCCATCCAAATCCCTAAAATCCCCCCCTGTAGTATTGTGAG